GAGACTCCTGGAAAACTTGCGAAAAATCACTTGTAGGACCGAAAGTAGACACTTCAGGCTATCTTTCCATGTGCTTATCTCAAAAACGATTTTTTGACCGAAAATCATCATTTCTGAGGGAAAATCCCTAATATGAATAGCTTGTGTAAACTATCGGTCGTTCGAACAATGACTGGTTATTCTGTCGTTTAAAACACGTACGATACTATGTTTCAAGGAGAAGTTTTGTGTAGAGGTAAAACAATACAAGTCGATGAATCAAATATTTTTCTTCGTTTATCATTGGGAGTAAATAAATACATAGACATCGACTCTATCTTTGTTAGTTTCTTTTATATTTTGTACATGTTTTTTCTTTTGTTTTCTGATTGAAACATGACATTTTCGTGTGAATGCGAGATATATGTAGAAGTAAAGTTGACGCATACATTTGCTTTATCTGCTATATAAATGATGAAACGATGGAATAGAATTGAGTAGATGGTAAGGATGTAGTTTCTTTTTATAGATTTTGATTTTTAATTTCCGTTTTAAATGAAAATAACGCTCGAGCGCATGATATGTCGAGTGTATGTGAATATGATCATAAAAAGAGAAATCATTCGTAATTGTTAAAGACAGTATGATGATGGAACTAATAGATGCGTTACCTTAGAGACGAGAACAGAATGATGAATTAACTCAGGATTAATGACATGTCTTTCATGGCAAAAGAAACAGAAAAAGTTTTATTTTCATTCATTTATATTTTGAAAATTAAGATTCTTTTTGATTTTTTGTGCGTTGCAAAAAGCTCTTAACAAAAGTACTTAATGTCTTTTTTTTAGTCATGGGAATAACATTTTCATGTAACGAATCATTAAAATGTTGACATATTTCAATATCGAGTACTTCAATTTGATTAACGATGAATTTCTGTTTCGTTTGGAAAGATTTGCCTACCACACTGTCATTTTCTGATATCGACCGTTAGACACATTTTTCTCTACGAGATATTAGGGATTTGATATCTTTTTAAACTCGACTTGTTTGAACTAAATAAATTTTGTTTTACGACCGCTTTTTCGTTACAGAAAAGCTCAAATCTTGAAAATCTCATCGAAATAAGGTTAGACTGTCAAGTGTTAGAACGACGATTAGTAAATGGATGGGTGACTGCTACTGAAAATCGAATCACCGACTTATTTCGGTGACGTCTGACATATATATGCTCAACTGCGTTGAGAGAAAAGTTTCAGAAAGGCAGTCTCGAGGACTACATGCGTAGAAAGGATCAGCTCAAGTTTCCAAGACTCAAGCTTTTATATAACTTTGTATTCGATAAAGCATCTTTGACCGTGTGTTTGCCTGTTTGATAAAATGTTCCAGTGGAATTTCTAACTGTTTTTTGAGAAAACTTACAGACAGGCAGTCTCAAAAACTGCGGGCATAGTAAGAGTTAGTCCACGTTTCTAAGATTCGGACTTTTCTGTAATAAAAAACAGTTGTAAAACAAATTTACTATAATCACATGATTTGCATGAACAACCCTGTCATAATATCAAAACGTTAGCCGCAAGTATCTCCACGTAACAAATGCTATCCTGGAAGAAACCTGACGCATTGAAAAAAGTTAAGTAACCACTGTCAAAAGAGAATGAGCATAGCCGTTATATAGTTCGTTCGAATCATCGATATGAAACATGCTTTGTTTTTTATTTGGAAATAATGAAGACAAAAAACGAAAGGTTTTGCAAGAAGTTCTATGAGAAAATTGACAGATATTTAAATAAGTAAAAATTTCTCAATGTGATAAAGCAATAAAATCATTTTCTGAAAATAGATCTGCACCAACAATGAAAAACTAGCTTTTTTTGCGATCTTTTGTGTTGAGTTAATGTTTTTATCAATAAAAAGAAATCACTTTAGATTTTATCCAATAGTGTCTTCTTTATCTTTTATAGTAATACATTCAACGTATATCAGACAGGCACGGACAATATTTGGAAATCTCAACGATTCAGTTTAGTTTGTGAATATTTAAGTCGTCCATCATTACCACCACCACTAATATTTCTTTCACATTTATGGAGACTATTTCTCTTCACTGCAGTACAATTTTCCAGAACACCAGCGTGTTTAAAAAGAAGTTATAAAGATCATTTACAACGAGCACGATTTAGTACGTATACAACTGACAGACACATAAATTGAAGCTAAGAATTACTGTTGTTTTCCTAATCGTCTATTCATAGAAAACAACTATAAAGAAAATTGCTAACTAATGTTTATCATTTTAGAAATAATTTTGAATGATAAAATTTCTTCTCACCTTGAAGAGATCGAGGATGCAAGAGGTGATGAAATCTACTTTCTACATTCAAAAAACAAAAAAGAACAACAGGCGGCTTCAGCAACTTTGACAACAGGAACACCAATCATAAGTGACAACTTATTAGAAGGGTCAGAAGAAAAAATGTGCGTTATTTAAAGATCATCGTATCTGTCAATTGTCTGAGATTTTTCTATTTTAGAAAAACTAAATTAGATACAACACTAGATCGTTTAACATTACTGGACGATAAAATACGAACATTAGAAACAAAAGTAAGAAATTCAATAGATCCGATAAAATATATGATTTTGTTTTCTAATTTTTAGCAAGGAACAGTTATAGATTATTTAGAACATATTATGAATGGTATCAGATCAATTGGTGGTGATGTTGGCAATATTCCATCGAGACAAGCATCAGTGACAGATTTGTCTGCGAGAAAAGCATCAGTGACAGATTTGTCTGCTAGTCAAGAAACTTTATAGGATATCTATGATTCAAAGACGTGTAATGCTATAGTAAAATATGTTTAAAAATCTAGCTTATTTCTATATTGTGTAAGGCTGTCAAAAAAAAAAACAAGAAGAACACATTGTAGTAAACCATTTGTTATAAGTCAGAATTTTGTTCTAGAATCTATCTAGTCAAGCAAAAATGCAACATTATTTTCATCTAAAAATAAAACATGAAAATAGAATAAATAAATTATTTTCAAAATAGCCTTTATCTCTCTCATACAATAACTTTGTCTTATCTAGAACTCTATAATTTTTGAGTTTGTCTATACTTGCATGTTTTAAGCTGTATAGAATAACATTTCATTTAATGTTCGTATAATAAACGTATTTTTATCTTGAAAATAAATCATGGACCATATTGGTTCATTGTAATGCATTGTTTTTATTTTTTGTCCATTATCATTAATTATTAGTAAATTAGATGCTTGTGCAATATTCTCATGATAACTATGATTAATAACTAAACAATAATTTTGTATTGTTGGTAAACAGATAAGACCATATGTACTAACATCGACAAATTTTGTTGCACGAATAATATTCATTGTAATACGATTACGTATTTCCAATTGATTATCGATTAACAATGCCAATTGAGTATTATTTAAAAATCGAATACATTTAAGATTATCATCTTTATCAAATAGTTTTGTCCATCGTTTAACTAATTTCCATTCGTGTATATTCCATTGTTCTATTGGAGAATTTGGTTTATTAAAACTTAGAAATAAAGTATCATCCATATTTGTACAACTTTTATATTCACCTTCATTAGAATGAATTTGTTTTGAATTATTGTGTATTTGTAAATCAAATGGATGTAATATAAAAATTTTTTTATTTGTTAGTAACATAAATTGATCTAATAATTTGAGACAGCACATATCAACAATTTCCTCTTCCTTGATCCATTTAGTAACTTGTTTATTTTTACATGCATAATCAATCAAACATAAAGTATCGTCTGTGTCCTGATATAAAATTCGATTATCCGATGCACAAATGAGACCACCATATTCATTTTTTGTACGCATAATTTTAAAAGGTTTTTGAGACATTAGATTTGTAAAATATTGAAGTTGCTGTAAATTCGTTTGAGGTGGAATTCGTTGCTGTTGATTATGAATGGGTTCGTCATGCATCGGTGGTTCTTGCATACGTGGTGTTAGTAGTGGCATCTGTCGTACAGTACTCGTAACCGTTTTACCATTCCATTTGACTATGATCATTTTTGACCAATTTATTATTTGACTTTGTTCTGTATCAATTTGAATAGCATTGTTTACTTTTTGTTGAATTTGATCAAGTTTTTGATTCCATTGTTTAATGTCACGTTCACTATAGTTATTATGAGCCCGTTTCGCATCAAATTCATTTGTCAATCGTTGAAAATCGTTAAAAATTTCATTCTGATGATCATGGGTTATACTCGATATTGTATTACGGGCTTGATTAGCGGCAGATTTAATTCGTTGAACCATATCATGTTCCCAGCGATTTATTTTACCAATTAGCGTTGATTCAATATGATTAATAACTGCATTATCTCCACCTTCCAGTAGATTTCGCTCGCTTACAGGTGAGCTCTGTGAACAGAAAAACTTAGCAGGTTAGTGTGATTATAAGTGTTGAGTGAGTGTTACCCGATTGTTCTCACGATGATCACGTTCAGAATAATCTTCAAGTCCTCCAATAATTTCTTTATTTACCACAGCATGTTTTTGAATTACATGGTCTATATCATGTTTAAGTTCAATTTGATGCTGTTTATAGTGTTTATTACAAAATTGTTGATCACATTTTGTACATACCACTAAAACAGTGCCAGACTCTTTACATTTACTACATTCATGTCTACCATGACTGTATTTTGGAATAATGTTGGCTTGTTTCTTCTTTGTAGACATACTATGTAGACTTAATGTTCTAAAAAAGAAATTTTTTATTTATATTAAAGTTATGCAAACTCTGGAAAACTTTTGTAATTTGTAATTGAATACTTGTCTGTTATTTAAAATTAAATTAAACTTGAATGTGTCAATCAGTTATTATTCTTTTTCATTCTAAATGTTTTCAGTTAAAATGAGTAGTACATTTAATGAATTTTTCGTTTCATATGTTTCATGATATGAACATTTGTTTGTTCTTTTTCATTTACATACTTTCAAGAGCTTTTTTAAAATGAAATTTTTCATTTTTGTAATAATCGATGTTGTTGAGTCAAATAGGATTATGAAAAGGATATCTTAGTGATTAATAAAAAAAAGGTAGTAACAATAATAGCTATTGGAGACAAATGTCTATGTATGCCATGGCAGCCACATTTAAAAGAAAAGACACTATGTGCAACGAACCATCTTCAAAGCAAATATTTCACATTTAGTTGTTTTGGAAGCATATCATAATTATCTTGGCATTTGTTCATCTCATGTATAAAAAAATTACTTGTAAAAATTAGAAATACAGTTAAAAAAATAGTCGAAATCCACTAGACTACAATATTAGAAAAAATGAAAACGAAAAAAAAAACAAACCAGATAGATAAATGACTGATATCTTTTTGTTATCTAGTTATTATCGTCTTCCAGTAACAAAATATGTTTTCATTTTATTTTTTCCTTTTACATCTACTTCTCCTCTCAACTCAAACGTATACCGATCACTCAATGTTTGAGCGACATGTTCCGGTACCTGAATAAAATTTGCTGTTCCTGTTGAATCCATTCTTGAAGCAACATTTACTGTATCACCCCATATATCGTAAAATAGTTTTGTTGTGCCAATAACACCAGCAGTTACTGGTCCATAATTGAATCCAATTCGTAGTTCAAAAACAAAATAGAGTAAAGCCTTGTTAAATGATTGCATTGTCTCTTGAAATTGCAGAGCAAAGTCCATTAGATTATACACCGGTTCCAGACTGCTATTCGATTCACCTAAAGAAATATTAAATGTATAAATAAATCTTTTTTTTCGTTTATATTCTTACCTTGTAATCCACTAGCAGCCATATACGTTGAACCGATTGTTTTTATTTTTTCAATTCGTTCAAAACGTTTACTCAAAAATAACTCTTCAATATCACCATAGAATTCGTTTAGTACTCGAGAATAAAATCTTCCACCTTCAAATTGTTCTTCATACATAACATGAAAATTAGTCAATGTTGCAAACATAACACCGACACATTCATGATTTTTGGAATATGTACCACCTTTGAGCCTTAATGGTTCAATGACATGTTCTGGAAGAATGTTTCGTAATAGCCAATCGGCTCGTTCACGTTCTTTACCCATTTCTAAATGTTGTTCACTAGATTTATGATCAATATAAAATAATTGACGATGTTTTAATTCTAAATGATGACTAATCAAATGGACTAGAAAAAATGCTAATATGATGTGAAGAGATAATTCATATGGATAAAATCGATTCAATGATGTATTTTCTAAACAAAAACAAAAAGTCATACATAGTATTCTATTCAATATATTCGGTTTTAATGCTAATTTATAGAAAAATATAAGAATAGGATAAAAATGATCAATGGCTGTGATATATCATAATAAACAGAGGGAAAATTTTTGTATACTGTAAAATGCCAACTTACTCTCGATCACAGTAATTGAGAGAATTGCGTAGCCAACTATAAATAAAATCGATAATCCCAGTTTATACAAATAACTAATGGCACCGGAATAAAGTGTATAGTGTACGGTCAATATTGCTATAAATAAATAGGGTATAATGAAAATACCATTAATTTGATTTTTAATATAAAGTAGAAAATAGACCATCAGAATAGGGAATAGAAAATTGAGTGTACATATGATGTATCTTAATGGAGATGATAAGTGTTTATTTCGACGAAAAAAATAAAATAGTAGACAAACTAATACTAATTCAGTAATTAGAAATATAATTGAGGGTATAATCCAAAATAGATGCAATTTAACACCCGCAGATACAGATGCAAATCCTAATAATAATATTAAAAATGATAAAAATGAATCAAAACATAGATTAAATAATGTATTTGAATAAAATAATGGACGAGAAGTTACGGCTAAAAGAGAAAAAGCATATTTTTTTGATTTTCAACTTTTCGATAAACAAGAAGCAAAAAAAAAGATCTTATCTTTACGTACTCTGTTGCGATTGTTCAGCAGATTTTGTTGCAATACTTTGTTGGCCATAAGACTTTTCTAATTTGCCATCCGTAAAACAAAGTGTTATTGGTGACATTTGGATATTTAAAGTTTGCATCAATTGAGATTGATCTATAAATCCAACGGGTGTTGTCGATGCCGTATCACCAGCACCCACAGAAGAAATAGTTGCACCTCGAACACGTTGTTCTGGTTGAACGGTAACTGTTGTTAGTTGTATATCATTTGACGTAAATCCATCATCAATCAATGGAGCAGGTAGCGTGTCGTCAGTCAATGTATTTGATCGAACACGATTTGTTTCTTCTAATAATGGACTTGTCACATTCTAAATGTACACAATTACAGTTAGCTACAAGAAAATTATGTGTTCTTACTTGTTGATCATCCGGTATTGTTTCTGGATTTGCTTGGGCTGACTCAATCAATGGTACAGCAATATTTGATACACCAGAAGCAACCTAATAAGGTAAAATATATTCTACTCAACCATATACACATTCTATTTCTTATAAAATGTTTACCGCAATAGCTGCGGCTGTTGCAGCAGTCATTGCCGGAGGTTTTCGTGTTATTCGATGATCTAATTGACGTTTTTTTATAAGATAAGTTGCAACAGTAGCTAAAATATACATACACAGTAGTTAATAAATAGCATGAGAAGAGACACGATTTATGATCATACTATGATTATGTAACTGATAGGGTTCTCCTGGCTCGACATTATAATTATCTTCCAATAGTTTGTACGTTGTCTCTGTTAAATGAACATAACCTAAACAGATCGAGTAAAACAGTAGTTTTTTTATTAAAAAATTGTCCGATAGCAGGAGTACAAGATGTATGCGTGACATGTAAATTAAAATAAAACAAAACAAAAGCGATTTCTTACTGTGATTAGCTCAATTTTTGAAGAATATATCGCGTCTACCAAACATGAATTGCGCGTTTTTAAAACAGCTTAAAAGAATTATCTCAGAAAACGTAGACACGAGCACAGTAAATCTATAAAGCGCGCCAGAAGGTTTTTTTTAGAAAAATATTTAATAACGCGAAGAGCTCATGTTGAAATGAATTTTTATAGTGAAAAGCTCACCTGGTTTGCCCGATGACTCCATTTTGTTCGCCAGCGTAACATCATTCGAAAATATATCAAATTTAAATTTTTTCGTCCCAATAATTCCACAATTAACCGATCCCGAATGTACTCCCACTCTCATATCGACACTTTCATTATTATCTTGATCAAATTCTTCAATGGCATTTATCATAGATAATCCCATTTCGATACAACACCGTGCATGATCTCGTCGAGGCTCGGGGCATCCACTAACACAATAGTAACAATCGCCTAATGTGGCAATCTTCTCACAATTCATTTGTAGACATAAATCATCAAATCTTCCGTATAAATCAGCTAAAAGACGAACTAATTGATCAGCTGTTTTATTCGATGACATACTAGTAAAACCAACAATATCTGCGAATAATATTGAAACATTTTCCATTCTGTCCATGTGTAACGGTCGAAGTACACCTGATTCACTATTTGCATTGGGCTGTTGATCTTGTTCTAATGATGGTGAGGGTGGTTGAGAACTAATATTTTGAATACGTTGACGAAAAAAATCAAAATCTTTAGTAATTTCTTGTGCATATTTTGGTGGCATGAGAGAATCGATCATCTTTGAAATTAATTGATGTTCTTGCAATAGAGATGACTGAATTTTTTGATCTAAACAGATATAAATAAACTTCTATTTTTATTTGCAAAGAAACATTCTAGAATCAAAAGTAACTTTAATGAAATTTTTTGAAAACTAACTCATATATCAATGATTTAGTCACATATGTATGTTTTCTTAGATTTTCTATGACTTACTTTGACATAGTTTATAGTATGAATTTCTATTATGTGATTCAAGTATAATTTTAATATAAATTCCAATAATATGTGCAATTATATGTAAAATTAATCTTGCCCCAAATTCCTCCACTGTCCGTATACCAGTTGCAAATTCGTATACAATTGATAAAACAAAATTTAATAGTAATGTGAAATAGAGTGAAATACATGATAATGTATAGATAAGAAAAATAATAGTATATGGAAAAACGAATCGTGTTATATTAAAAATAACGTGTCCACCAGGTTCAAAACTTAGAAATAATGTAATGAAACAAAAGAAAAATATTGAAAATAATGCCAATAGCGTTATGATAACTTGACTAAATTTTGTTTGAGTATTAAATTTATAATAAATTCCAAATGAAATTATAGCGCATAAACAATTTGCAGCAAATGGTGCTGATAATAATAGTGGTACAACTGAACGATGAGATCGATCATTTACTGTAAAATAAGTCGAAATAAAAATATAAACTGACCATAAAACATTATGTACGATTAAAAATAGAATATAAAGTATAAATGTTTTCCGTTCAACAATACGAGAATATTGATTTTTATAATGTCGTTCAAGTTTAACATCGTTAAAACGAGGATATAATAGAGATAAATGAGATGAACGTTCAAATAATTGAAATGATAAAAAGCCAAATTTTGTCTTCTTTTTTTGAACAACTCGTGATTCTTCCATTTAATCTAAAAACAAAAAAATATACATATAAGAATTTTCTTATTATCAAGTTGCTATTATAATAAATAGATATGTGAGAATATATTTTGTATTAATTTTTATCTTATAGAGGAAATGTGTTAACTGTATCAAGCGTTGTCTAAAACTTGTCCTCTCAATTATATTGTTGATGGTTCTTTATTCAAGAATGCATCGACATGACAACATCTATTTTAGCTTTTCTTATTCAAATGAAGGTCATATATATGAAATATATGTATAGGAAGCGAGCGACCGGTTAATAACACCGTATTGTAATGTCATGTTGCCCTGCGGTCTAAAAGAAATAAAAATAAAAAAAATTTTTTTTTACCTATTTGTAGTAGATAATAATTAATCTAAAAATTAATCTTGGATTTTAATCATTCTTGTTCGACATGATATCAACAACAGTAACTATTGTCATGAACATAAGAATACAGAAGTGTATTATAATGTAAAACTTGAAGAATAAAAAAAAGCGACATGTGTACAGTCGATTAATAATATGATTTTATTATTCGAGAAGAAAAAAATATTTCCATAATAAAATAATAATAAAACATCATTTTTCTGATGTTAATAATAAATCTAAAAAAATATGAGAAGAAGAACAAAAGAAAATAAAACACGAATGTATATATATATATATATATGAGCAATAAGCGATTTTTGTCGCTAGAGTATGAGTGAATCAGAGAGAAAGAGAGAGAGAGAGAGAGAGAGAGAGAGAGAAACAAACCACTGGAGAATAAAAATTGAAATAAGATTAGATAGTTGTGGGATATAAAAGATGGTTTCTCTGTGAGGAAAGATGAAAATTTATAATATAAAAAAGCTCTTATGACGAAAAATACTATACCATGATTAAAATTGCATAAAGTGTAGAGACAAAAAAATGGAAAACTGTACGTTATATGACATCTTTTTTTTTTGTGACTCAAGGATATACATTTAACTTCATCTTACGAGCTTTTTTACTACAAGAGAAAGATACTGTTAGTTATCTGACACCCGAGTCAATCTGAATACAGTGAAAACTGAAAATCTCACTTTCCTCTTGAGCGGAAATAAAGACCATTTTCTCTCTCTCTCTCTCTCTCACTGTCTCTCCTCGTTCTTCCGGATAGTGAAAAATATTTTGTTGTTATTTTCCGGCTACCAAAAAAGAAAACCAGACGGAAATTCAAATTTCATTGTTTATATTCTATTGGGAAAAACAAAAAAAACAAAGAAAGAAAAGTATTATTTTATTTAATAACGGCAAATTATTTCCTTTTTGTATAGGTACATAAATAAAAAGTCCTTGAACTCTTACATACCTATCTATCGTTAGTCGTCCTTCTGTTTTTCTGTCTAAGAGTAAAAAACATCATACATGCATACATACATCGAAAACATTGTTGATTGAAGTTAAATCAATCAACTGTCAGAAGAAAGAAACGGAGAGAGACAGAAAGAGAGAGAGAGACAAAGAGAAAGAAAGAGATGACAAAACTTCCATTCATAATTTCTTTCTCTTTTCCTATAGTACTGGTGGAGTCCAGGCACATTATTTAGGAGCAACGAGAACACATATTCATACTACAACAGTTTGTTCTTCTCGGTTATACATAAAAGCACAAAAAAGAAAAAAAAAGAACGAACGGCAAAACAATATTTTCTGTAAAATGTGTATATAATCAAAAAATATGAAAAAGACAGAAGGAAGTAGAACAAAAAAAAAATAAAAATGACAAACTGAGAGAAATATTACACATATGATGATAGAATTGAAGTCGTGCAAGCTTTTTAGAGAGAAAAAGTTTGTAGTCTATCGTCGAAGCATAGATCTCATATAAAAATATCAGATTATATGAAACTGTCAAAAACAGTCTTTTTCTTTTATTAAATAGTTTTTTTTTCTTTCTAAAAGAAACATTTGATTACGATTAAAAAATTTCAATTTTGATTTTATTATATGGTATTCAGATGTTAGATTAAAAATATTTCAGACTGATTTACTCTTACAAAATTCTCATCAAATTGTTTAAATTATTTATTCGAAAATTTCAAAAACATTATTTTGATCTTTAAAAGAACGATATTGAAGTTGAAGTAAAATATTTCCAAAGTTAATATTTTCTTTAAGAGAAAAAAATCAAAGGAATTAGAGAGAGCGAAAGATTTGAAGAAGAATTTAATTCTCCTTTTCTGGAAAATCCTATACGAACCTATCTTTCATTGCACGGCGAATGAATGAATTAGCGAACTATAAATAGGCTCGCTGTTGATAGACTATAGTTATATTCTATTATTTATGTATGTCTTCTTTCTAGCGTCTATATTTAGAAACATCATTATTATTAATAGATATACAAGGCTGTTTTTTTCTTTTTCATTCCATCGACTTTGTTTACCACCACGACGGCGACGCAACGACAAAAAAACTTTTTTTTTTCTTTCATCTTTCTTAAACGATTATTTGTATTTTAATAACATAATACTCGACAGTTATAGTTACAGAAGTTAATTTCGATTTTTTTTTTTGTTACTCTTCAAAAAGTTATTCAAACGGTTCTAAATAGAAAGAAAAGAGACTGAGACCTGGATCATACTCTTCAATTTTCAACGATCGAATAATTTCTCCTACTAAGTTTATTCCAATTCTTTTTATAAATTTTCCAATATTTTTTTTTCATTTTATATGATTGTTTACAGAATATATTGATCAGAGACAAGAGTCTAAATTATCTGATTATCAGGTTACTACTACGAACAATATGATTTCTGTTGCATGAAGAGAGAAAGAGAGAAAACGCAAACTGTAACTTTTTACTTTAAGACAGATTTACTGAACTGAATATTTATTGAATACTTTCTTAACATAACAGAAGAACAACTTGTAACTTGTAAAAATTCGTTAAAAAAAACAATTTATTAAAAGCCCGTAAACAGAGAGTCAACTTGGGCGTGTCATATGAAAAGTTCTATTCATCAGTAACTTTTCATTTACAAAACCCTGGATATATGTCATTAGCCTTGAAGTCAAATCTGAAACAGTCATAATGTTGGCATGTCTTTGTCTCATTTTTCTTCTTCCAAAAAAAAAAATGTTCTTCAAATAGAGAAAGAAAGAATTGTGTATCTGTATATAGCTCCTATCAACATATCTTTCATCATTATCAATATCATCAGACAGCAACGAATTCCATAGAGATTATTCTATTTATATCGAAAAAGGAATAAGAAACATTCTATTTTGACATCAACAATTAGTAACTAATCGAATAAGAACACTTCTTAATCCAAATATTATCGAACTCCTCCCCGTCAGTGAGTGAGCCGTAAATATCATCGAAAAATTGTCAAACGAAAGTTTGTTTACATTGTAATACTAATCAAGAGGGTTTGAAAAAGAATCGTATTTGTAATTTACATTAATCAATTTTTTAATGTTGTAATTCAAAAAAGAAAAACGGATTATTTTTTTTTATGAAATTTTATTCTAGAATACATTGTGCATGTTTATCCTGCACATATTTACGCTGTTGAAAACTTTGAAGATCTCGGAAAATTATTTGATAAAATTTTATTTTGTAAAAGAGAATGAAAAGAACAATAAAATAGAAAGCCATAAGAACTAAAATCGCTATACTTAGAACAACATTGTATTAGTAAATGAGAGTTGTAAGAAACGAGAGAGAAAAGCGAGAAAGCGAAATAATAAGAGAAAAAAGATAACAGAAGAGTTATCCATATCACTAGACCTAAAGAGAAGACTATGTTAGAGACAACTTCCGTATATAATTATAATAAAGAGAGAAAGGAGTGAGATAGTTGTAAATTACGTTTGTAGTATGAACATTTAAGCAAAACGTTTTTCAGATCTGTAACAATTTTTTCGTTAAGAAGTTAAAGAGAAATAATACTCACAATAATTTTCTGGGATAAGTTCATGTTCTTTAAAATGATAGCTTCAGATAGGATATTCGGAAATAAGAGCTGATCGCTGTTTAACCGCTGATGAAAGAATGAAAAAGGGTACTCTTATCTCGATAGCCATGCATTTCTGACGTAATGGATCCTCTCCTCTCAGTGCATATTCTGTACTTTTAGGTGGAGCGAACATTTATGTGTCGATGATTTGTACGAATAAAACTGTGACATTTTGCAAAACATATATATACTGAGATGTTGAGAAAATGACAACCAAATTTATACCTTTGCTGGTAAATCTATTATAGCTCCTGTGACAGTTAACCTTATCGAATATTGACGATTTTCAAATTTCATGAGATTTTGTTATGATGTTTAGGATATATTAGAAGCGAACTTGAAATCATTGTACATTTAGGAAACTGTTGTATTTCACACTTATCAAAACTCAGCTCTATTGAATACGGACTTCAAACCATGTGATTTATTCGCCGATGGGGATGTCCTATCACAAAAACAAGAGAAATGGGCACGATAAATCAAATACGATTACCTTTTACAAAAAATAATGGCAGTACAATGGTGTATAAGCGAACATGTTTTTCAGTATAGATCGATTTTTAGATGGTTGATGTCAATAAACAAAACAATATAACGGATGTGACAGGAGGAAGGAAGGAAAAAGGAAGAAAAAAGAATACTTCGCCTTTCAACCACCATTATTGGGATAGGGCGTTGACAAATTTCTGAGATAGTTGTCAGTTTCGAGACACCATTAATGGTTAATGGCTATGCTATTTGTCACTCACTATAGAAGTATAGCCTTCAAATATGGGCACTGTCAGTTCGTGTAGTAAGTGTAAGCAAGTTACGTAGGCTCATGTGCTTTGAATTACCCGTTTAACAGAAGACTTATTTCGTTGTGATGCATAACATCTTTTCTCTGACTTATTACAAATCTAGTGGGTGATTAACAAGCGTGTATTGAGAGGTAGTGCAGAAGGATGGAAGAACTCTGTAATAGAAGTCTATGAATAGGGATTTACAAATTAACTGCAATCGAAAAAATTGATTCGGTTATGATCGGTTTGAGTTTTTCAACTAAAAAATATAAAAATTCTAAATCGATTAACAAGTTGAGTGATATAATTATTTTGCTTTTGTATTCAATTTGTATCGGTTTTGATATTTTGTGGTTTTCTGTTAACAATCGAAAACGGTGCATATTTTCTAGCGCATATCGTCTCGAATATGAGAGAAAAATAAAACATTATTTCGTTTAAATTTGTTCGATTGCATATATGTAGAGTTATCAAAATACAGGCCTCTGGAACGTTACTCTTTCTTCGTATGCGTTAAGTTGTGATAAAAACTTTCAATAGTGCTTTAATAAAAACGTCAACAGCAGTTCAACAGAAAATCACATACCTCCTTGGATAGTGTCTTCATCTGGAATCTAAACTAGAGGTCGAGCCGATTTTTTCCAGATCAAAATCATTCGAGACCGACTAAATTTAAAAAACTTCAATTTGACTAAGAATTTTGCAATTTTATTCGGTTCGATCTAGATCGATTAACAAAAAATTTTTTTTCTGAACCTTGTTTCAAACCACCTTTTTGTCCTGTCATGCACTAGAAGTGAGTTTTTCTTCGTACCCGAAATTATTTAAGTAGATTCGCTTTACAACTACTGAAACTTTGTTTAACATTGTTTAACTCTTCCACAATTCTACATTAAAAATTGCTTTTTGTTAGACAAAACTGCGAAAAAAATTGATTCCGTTCAGTATGACTGAAAATTCAAAAGTTTGGTTCAGATTCGGATCAGTTCGATTTCGTCCTCGGATCTAAATGACTAATACACTGAAAAAAATAGGTTTCGAGAATTGAAACCATTTCTAAACCCTTTTTAGGTTTCATAGGAACGTACGAAACCCGTAAAAGGATTTATTAAGGATCTAGAAAACTTTTTTAAGGTTTCGTAGATTTTCTACGAAACCTCAAAAAGGGTTTAGAAATGGTTTCAATTCTCGAAACCCTTTTTAAGTTCTGTAGTGTGCACGAAACCCCGTTTAAGTTCTGTATCATACCTTTTTTTTCTTCAGAGTAGTAATACGAATAATAAACTGCAAATAGCGAGATGTTTATTAAGTCTTAATGTAATAATGATTATCCATCTACTGTAAAATTGTAACTCTATTCAGACACTATATCAATTACCTTTTTGGTGAAGTATTTTGAAAAGAGTCACTAACAAAAAATAGATCTAGGTTACCTAATCACACTAGATTGACTATTTGAAAGATGAAATTATCCATGGATTTAGTTCACCGATATCGTTCCCTATCTAATTTTAATTTGCTTTCCGACAGTGTTATGAAATCTGGCTGATGTACTATTTCTCTTCGGTCAATATTATCTCAGATTAAACTAATTGCTCATTTTCTCATTCTTATATGGTGATGTTTATGTCAAACTTTTAGTTCAAGAAAAAGGAGATGATTTGATTTTCGGTTTGATAGCGCTTTATTTTACGACTGGAAAAACAAGTTTAACAGCAATGTCATGTTTTCTTCATCTCGCAATATATTGATTGCACATGGAAGCACAAAATAAATTAAATTTTGCAATAGTATATACAAACACACTCTCCAATACACTTTAAACAGTTCATAGCGTTAACATAATATATCGATAATACCGTTCTTGTTTATACTTTCAGACACTCTGATTCGATTGATTTCATGACATACGATGACGATTTGGTGCGATAATATGTATTTAATTAAAATTTTTTTCTGGGAAACATCAATTGTCACGTCACATGACATTTCAAATTCCGTCCCAAATATTAGTAAGTAATGAAAGTGGAGTGAACAACTGTAAATTACGCAGTATTTGTTGAACGTTTGTCATTCGATCTAACGATGATAAATTTTTTAAAAACCTTGAATAATTCGTTGCGTATTGTAATCACATTTTAAGCTATCAAAAATACATACCTCATTGTTGATAAATATAAATGAATTCCGTTTTGGATGTCAAATATCACAGTGTGTAACAATGTCTTGTTCAGTTGATACATGGTCACCCGATTCACATAATTCAGCGGTATATGTATTATCAACATGCAATATTGCACGACATTCTCATCATTAACATTAACAGTAAATTCATTAACAATAAATAATATAAGTTTTGATAAACATTGACCCAAAAATTTGAAAGTTTGACGGCAAAAAAATGTTACAACCCGTCTCCCCTTATAATAGAAGACCACTGCTGACGTTTTTTTTTTGGGATCCTCTCCAAGATTTATTGGATAGAAATTGACTTGAATTGCTCGCCAAAATGGATGACCATGATGTATTTTTATTATGGGAGTGGACCCACAGTGGGCAGCCATCTGGAAATATGAATGAAAAGTGACTGCTAGATTTTCGGAATGCTGCTCTATATGCGTATACTACGTACGTGTTCATATATGACTATTACATTATTATGATATCTAGAGGAATTGCTAGATAAGAGTAAACCTAATTAATATGAGTATGTTGTACACACATAAGTTATGTATAATGAAACAACCTTTACTCATGCAGAACTTCATAATATTTGTCAGTTATTACGTAAATAATACTAATCAGCTTTCTAGTTCACTGGCCTATTGCGAGCGATTTAAACTAGTTTATTAACGGTTATTGATTGCGTCGAAGTCATAAGACGAGGACTTTCGAACGAAGTTTAGATTTTAAAGTTTCGGATTCTAGTATAAGACCGTCGACTTTCCATTTTCCGGTCATTTTTGACCTCGATTTTACGTTTTTCATGTAATATTGGATGATGTCTCACTCACATCCTACCGCTTTTCCTTAACCACTCCCTAACAGAACTCTCTATTGCAACGCAACATTTCTTGGAGAAGGGAGAGTCGAATGTCAAATTTGACAGCGAAAAATATCATTCGAAACGGAATTTGAAATTTGTAAAAATGGTAAATCTAGTGTTTTCCAGTTTTGAATTCGACTTTTATATGTGCGAAATATATTATGCATATGGAAAACGGTCGTCTTAAAAAACGAGTATCAAATTCGAAAGTTGACGAAATCAAAATCAAAAACGTTGTCAATAAAATTTATTGAGATTCAAACCTTAGATGTTCACAAGAGAGAGATCTTCACGTTCCTTATACAGATTCTTGATAGGTCCTAGTGCTTGAGATGTGTTGTCACTCTGCTTTATGCACTCGATTTTTTATCTAGTTTGACAGATCACACTCGCTTCTTGACACGGTTCTTAACGAAAGAACATGATTAGTCAGTCGTGCAGACTTGAAATAAAAATAAGACTAACTTGGTGTACACAATAAAAAGGAATGTTTGAGACAATACTTAATTTATAATGAAACAATTTCGATATTTTACTCATCTAGGTTCAGTATTTATTTCTTCGCATTCTATGTTCAATAGAAAAATCTTTATTCTCTTCTAGTTACAAAATGTTAGGGTATTATTCGCCACGGTACATTCCACGCATATTTATATGGTCCACCAATGACAACTTCTTGATCATCTGTATCAAATAAACGATAGCGTTTTACAGGTTCGTCGTCAATTTCATCTAAACGATAACGTTTCACAAGTGATCGACGCAGATCATTCTCAAATTGCGATGCCATCAGCAACGATAACAAATTATCACGAGTTAATGTTGTTGCAAGAAGCTGATGATTCATTATTTGTACCAGGAGAAGCAAAACTAGGTACATCTTTAATCTTTTCCTAAACAAAGTAAAATAGTGTACTATTTATTGCTAACTTGTCAATGATTGACTAATACATCTTTCATAAAACACACACTCTAATAAAAACTTATACTACAAAACGGAAAATGAGTTTTGCAAATGCTTAAAGTAAAAAAAACTGTTTTAGCTTTGCATAAAACGAATTGAACAAGGAATTGGAAAACAGACAAGGACCCACGTTTTGTACTATCCTGATTAAAGATGTTTTTTACTCTAGGATCAAAAAAAAAAAGCAGTATTTCATAGTTATAATTGCAAAAATTCTTTTTCATTCTATTAGGAAAATCTATTCTGTCTGCAATATGTAATTTCATACTGTAGTGAAGCTCCAAGCAGAAGTCTAACAAAGATTGTGATGAACACATTTTCTTCATATGTCCTGTACTACTTATCATTCTCAATAAATAATTTTACTTACTTGTCTAAATATATATTTTTTAAATCTAATTTTCAGAATGAGCCAAGCTTGTTTATATTATGCTAATATGTGTATTATAGATTCTACATAAAAGAAGGATGACTAAAGAAGAATGTGGATAAACTAGTAATTTGCCGGAAAAAATGCTCTACTATAAGAGTTCATTTTGTGAAAAGTAAATTGTATTTCTATTTTATTCACATGGATCATTAACTAGTTTAATTTGTGTAAAAAAAACAAATTACTAAAACTATAGAAGTGGGACTCAGTTATAACGGTAGTTTGCGCTTTTTTACAATATATATATATATATATATATAATACCTTATAAAGATAGACCGTAAAATTGGCGTTAAAATATGTTAATTAATATTAGAGAGATCAGAGAGAACGCGAACGAATTTTTGGAAATAGTACGTTGTGATTAGACAATGACTAAAAAATAAAAAACATGCCTGTTCAAGTATTTGAGAGAAACTTGTTTACACTTTACAACTTATAATATTTGTAACTTTTAAACCACAAAAAAACGTGTATATATTTGCCTCGTAACAACTATGTTCTGATTTCATTGAAGTTCATCATCAAGATTCAACATTGCTCTTGCCATTTTTGATCTTTGTGGTTTAATTTCAACTTTAGTTGCAATACTGTCTACACTTAAGCCACTAACACCAGATTTCCGTTGAATACTGCGTGACCGTCGCCAGTACCACCAGAGCGAGAGACCACTAAGTAAGAATAATCCTAATAAGCCAAAACCTATTCCTAGACCTAGAGATAATCGTTTTTTCTTATCTATAGAATCTGTAAGAGCTAGTGGTGCTAAAATAATTAAGCTAAAATCAAATATCTTGTAGTAATTGCCTAGTTGTAAAAAAACACGTACCACAAATGTAATCATTTGCATTATCGATACACTCGGTAAATGGTGGACAAGTAATATTACGACAAGGAACTGGGATAGTAAAACTAGATTTTTCGCAGACAACTAAAATATCGTAGATTGAACAAATTAGCTATCTTAGGAGAAATATGTTAATATAGTAGCTTACATGGATATTTGTGTTTGATACAAAATTCATCATTCAGACAAATATCGCCCACAGACCATCGAGTGAGCGCAACACATCCATCTCGATTTCCTTGCTGATCAATATGAAAATTTGGCTCTAAAAGACTGAAAGTATCAATTGCTGTTAATGGTTCTGCAAGAAATTAGATGAAATATATTCATATTCGTGCCGTATTTTCCAGAGAAATAATGCTGTAACCAACGACCAACATACCGTTCCATGTATTTTGATGACACCACATGGGACTTGTATCATCAAATGAAGGCACTGCAGAATCAATCCATTCAAATCTACCAGCTGTATGAACAAAGTAGCACAAATAAATAATACATTAAATTCATTGCTGTTGACGACAAAACGCTTTATGACTGACTACTTATATCATCTACAGTCTTTTAATTAGTTTCATAAAGATGTTTTCACTCAAAAGACGCTAGAAAAACTTTAGAACTTATCATATCCATTATATATTTCCATCTGATAGAGAAAATTGTGCTTACTATTTTGCAATAATGAAGTATTTCAGAGTTATTACAAATGTTGTGTTTTAGTAAGTTTTTAAACGAGTTTAATTTTTTTTTAAATGAAATATTATGAAATCAGTTAATATGCTAGAAAACGGTAGTGTTTAATGTTTCCTGGAGATATCTCTCTTATCTTTTAAATTACTATTTGAGATAGAGATCTTTATTCTAAAAGTTTGGTAACAGTTTGACGAAATACCATGATTCTTCAACGCTTTTTTTTTCTGCACGTTTTTTTCTCTGCACATTGAAGGCACAAGGACAGACAACTGCTGTGACTAACAAAATCTGAAGAATTCAATAAAGATCACGTCGAAAGCCATTATACATTAAGAATAGAATTTGTAGCCGATAACCTTGATTTACACTTGAAACTAAATTTATTGAGCACAAACATTTTAAAGCTAAGAAACTGAGGGGAAGTGGATAGGCAAAAAATGCGGAGTGAGTGCCCAATGTCAATCTGGTAACTCAGCAATAAAAGACTTTTGACGAAACTCATTTAAGGTATTTCTTCCATATTTGTGCTCTTTCTATACCATGACTCCTGAGAAAACCTAATTTTACTTGCTTCGCATTTATGGATAGTCGTTACATACACCCGTTCTTAATTAGATTTAGAGAAGTGCAACCAATATGAAAAGTCATTTTATGATACTTACGAGAGCGATACACGGTAGTAAAAGCTCCAATGAAGACAAATACATATTTAATTCCGTTTGATAGTGTAAATTTCAGATCCGAATCTTTAATTATCTGAGATGCTTTTTTCCGAATAAAATCGTATTCAGAGGAACTTCGAATAACCATCAAATCGGCTTGAAATTGCCGACAGTATGCTCTCGATTCATTGAAATATCTCTTATTGACTACTTCCAAATGATAACATTTTGTTTCTAAATTACTTGTAAGCATTACGCGAACAAAGGCTGAGAATACGTGTAAACTATTAGTAACACTTTCTTACGAAAATTTAACCAGCCTTTTGGACAAATAGTGCATTTGGTTCCGCTCCAGAAAAGTGTACCGCCATAGTCTGTTGAACGACCACAGATACATCTTCCTAAAACGCATGCCATTAAATGACCTGTACAATCACTGTCGGACGAACATACTTCATCATAACTCAGAACTAAATATAATCAGATACCACACGCTCACTTTCATATTATTGCAATATTTAGAAGTGATTATATAATATGAGATGCATTTGCTTATTCTAACTAGAGCTAATCGTAATCCAAAGACTATATAGCATCCTCAACTATCTGGCGAAAGTCGTTGCTGTCTGATATCGATTCCGCGTAGAAATACCTTTATATTGCTGTACATTAACGATAACTATCATTACTGATATTAATTTAACCATGAAATGAGAAATCATATTGAACTCAACTGTTATTATGTAACCAGAATATCAAGAGAAATATTTTAGTAAATATTGATTTGGTTATTTTTAAATAAATAAACAATTATTTTATTCACTTTGTACCTTTAAATCGCCTTAGAAACATTTTTTTATATTTAGAGAAGAATGTTGTTAGGTTTAAAGAGAGATTTTCACTTTCAACAAGAAAATTAAAAACTCACTTTGTGTAAACACGTATTTTGTAGAATATCATACAAGGAATTTATTTTTTCCAAGTTATAACTACATAACACTACACATGTTTCGTTCTATGAAGCGTAGTTCACAGGTCTATGTACGTACTCATTCAACAATCTTTTTCATCCTTTAATGTCCTTCCAAACGAATATTGGCAAAATCCGTGTAGAGCAACAACAATGTATTATACCAGAAAACTGTTCTCATATGGCTTTAGAAAACTAAATTGATTATCGAATGGCAAAATAATTCTATTCAAGTAGCCAAGGTAGCCAAGATATTAAAATTACAAATGAATTATTTTTTGCTTGCTAATGATATATTTCAGAAGTCCTGATATACTGGGATTCGAACTTCTTCGCCTGACCACTTGTCATTTCTTCGCCACATGGATCGATTTTGCATTTATAACACTACGAAGCTATTAGTTCGCGCTTATATTTGTTCGATACAGGCCTTTTAATTGCTAGTTACAAAAAAATTTCTTGTTGCCAAGTTTTCTATTGGTATTTGATGTGAAAACATTCAATTTTACAAAAAATCGTTAGTTTTGATCATTATTCAGTCATATTCTGATAGGGGGCAACGGACTAGAAAGACTTGACTGAAGCTGTCACAAGACAATGGTGTATCACGACGATAAAATAGTTTCATTGGTTTGAAACAAAAACCAATAGAAATTCGTGGACGCAAGAAACATAAGCAAAGAGGGGAAAATGTTGGACATGGTTTCTTCGTAGCAACAAGGTAATTCTAAAGAATCAAGCTGAGTGGAAAGTAGATTATACTTGTATTATTAATTTTTTCGTGTCACGTAGAGGATCCTCATTATTATTCATTTAATCACGGCCTTTAAGGAGAAATAATTTTGAAGTTGATTATAACCTTTAAGACACAACGTTCTTTTTAGTTCTTTGTTAAAAAAATAGAAGTACAAGCAGCAATAATGAACAAAAACACAGCTTGTAAAACAAAAGCAAGAAAGAAAAAACAAATAGATAAAAATTACAAGTCTTTTTTAGTTGATGCTTATCGATTAGATTTAGAATGTGGGCTTAATTTGGAATGGAGAATTTGGATTAACCGACATTTGAGCGACCGACATTTGTGCGACCCCGACATTTGACCGACCGACACTTCAGCGACCGTCATTTGAGCGACTGACTTTTGAGCAACCCACATTTGAGCGACCGCATTTGAAGGACTCCAACAATTGAGCGAAGCGCATCACTTATAGCTGCTTACACTACCCCCACACCCCACTCCATACAGCCTCACCCTCTACAGATCTCCAAATAATTCAGTTCATAATCGGACGACAAAAAGATTGTTCTCATCATCGTTATTAATCGTTATCGAAGTGAATAATCATTCGACTTTCCTGATCGGCAAAAAGTCATATTGAAAAGTGTCTAATGTCGGAGTCGCTCAAATGTCGGTCGCTCACGTGTCGGTCGCTGAATGTCGGCGCTCAAATGTCCGTTGACGGAGAATTTGTTCTTTTCATACACTGTTCGTAATTTACAAAAAGTACTACAGATTAATCATGTTTTAGATATACACTAATCATTATCTCTTACGTTACCATTATTACCTAATGCAACTATAAAAAAAAAAGGAAAAAAAGGCACTGCAAATGTCTCACTTTAAGTCAGTTTTTGAACATCTTATTTTTCCAATTTTTTTTACCGTAGGATTCGGCCTATATAACGTCAACCTCAATCTAAAATACACGATGGATCCAACTAGAGTTACAAATTTTCAAAAGACTAATGATATATTTTACTTTTCTACGTGCGAGTACAGTTTCGACTGTTCAATTTAAAAACAAAAACAAAAGCTATGAGAAACTGTACTAAGCTAATTATTAGCAAGTATACGTTTTTTGAACATGTGAATATTTTCTGCCAGAATGAGCTTCTCTTAAAAGATCAGTATTTGATAAAAGATGTGTATGAAAATCTGTACAATTTATATTATTCATATTTTTTCTCTCAATCAAATTTAATCGACAAACTTATATCACACATATCTGATGAGCCAGTATAACCTTTGTTGAAGAACCAGCTGATATTTTAGCAACATGCTGTTGTGGATCATGTGCCATATGTCCAGTTTTATTTCACGATTTTCACTTCTACGAGTATTCTCCACGATTTTCGCATTCCCGGATTTTATCTTATGATTTTTTCTTTACAACTTGGAATGCAAGCCTTTTCTCGTCGATCTTCTACTACAAGACTTTTCTGAACGGTTTTTATGTTAGGACTTCCCAAGTAAAAAAGTTGTGAACAATTATTTTGTATATATGTTGTAGCCAAAACTGGAATTCAGTCAAATCTTAGATTTGCCTAGCCAAAACTGAGATTCTAGTTTGGGCTAACAATTCTTCAGCCAAAAGTAAGATTCCACTTTTGGCTAGCCAAAAGTAAGATTCCACTTTTGGCTAGCCAAAAGTGAGATCAGTCAAATCTGAGATATAACTAGTCAAAAAGTGGTATATCAATTAAAACTGAGTTTAACTCTCAATAATTTGTTTTCCAAATAATTAATTTCTCCTCATTATAGAACAATAAACAATACTAACAGCGAGTAGGAAAAGAATAAAAAGGATAAAAATAAACTCTGGACTATATGGCAAGAAGAGAAAAAGAAAGATGAGAAGATTCACATTTTTTGGATATTATTTTGTATTCTCACATGCACCTCTTTTTGAATGACATTTTGTTGAACATGCGACTCCTGCTTTTTTACATAGACAGTGCTTTGTCGCACATTTCGTTTTACAATCACACGTTGCCCCACTTACCGCTCCACGAACAAACAATTTCGATGCTTCTATCAAAGTGATCTCATCTTTAAGTTCAAAAACATCTAAATTTTTTTGAAAATTTTCTAAGAGAGATAGAAAACAAAAACCAAAATCCCCCAAAAAACAGTACTACTTAGATATCATGCCACCTTTACGTGGTTAAGTAGATAAGTATCGACTATAAGCTACAGAATATTAAAAAAAATGATCCTACGAAATACATCTGTAGTTTATAGCCGAGAAACCAAGAGCGTGATAATACTATAGTTAAATTCAGTTTTAATTGATATACCACATTTTGACTAGTTATATCTCAGATTTGACTGATCTCAGTTTTGGCTAGTCAAAAGTGGAATCTTAGTTTTGGCTAGGCAAATCTAAGATTTGACTGAATTCCAGTTTTGGCTACAACATATATGCGTAAAAGCCAGAGGTACTAATTTGTGACGTGTAGTGAATCGCAAAATATTAGTAATAATAGTTTGATTTGAACCACTTATGCGTAAAATCTGTCAAATATGCGTATCACGTTTTATGTGCAAATACAATTAAAATATTGTGCGTGTATCAGATTCAAAAGAAATGACGCATATTTTCATCGAATTACACTTAAAAGCCACTTAGGCGTATGAGTATAATGCTGGAAAGCTTTGGACTTGGCCTTTTTGGAAGTCACTTTCTACGGCAGTAATTATCTCTTTTTCTATTGTCGTAGTCGATTTTGTTCATCAGAATCGATATCTCTTTGTAACAGATCAGCTAGCTCTTATATTCTTTTTAGCTCCAGCATTTTACTTATATTTCAACGAATCCATGCTTATCAGAAGCAAAAATTTGCAGTTCTTTAATCGGTACAATGTCTTTTATTAAGAAGGGATACGGGTCACTTCAGATAATTAATATCTCTGTAAGGAAACCACATTTAGCTCTAAACCTTTGCAGTTAAATAGAGTCAAGTCAGTAGGACATAATCAGTTCCAGAAGCGCAGTATTAGTGGAAGAGAATTCAGAAGAATTGTCAGAACTGTCAGAAGAATTTGACGTGACCACTGGCGTCCTGCAAGGCGACACATTAGCGCCCTTCCTTTTCATCATCGTCATCGATTACGTGCTCAAGAATGCTGAGTTAAAACACACAAACCAAGAGGGTAAGAACAAAGGCGAACATGAATTTGTTACCAACGTCAGGCAATCGACTCGTCAAACCGTAACAACAATATTCGATCTGGACTTTGCAGACGACATTGCCTTATTAGAAGGAATTCTCGAAAGAGCGCAATCACAACTGTCCCTAACTGTCGAACTAGTAAGGGAAGTTGGACTGGAAGTAAATGTCAAGACAACAGAGGTAGTCACAAATCAGAAGCACGAAAACGTCAACATCGAGTTAGGAGGACCGAAGATCGAATGGATAACAAACTTTAAATATCTAGGTTCCATGGTCCTGTTGACTGAGAGCAACGTCAACCTTCGCAAAGCACTAGCTTGGGGCGCCTTCTGGAAAAGGAAGGACATATTCTGCTAGAAAACCATGCCTATCCATCTCAAAACAAACATATTCTAAGCAGCATGTCTCTCAATACTTCTGTACGGCTGCGAGAGCTGGATCATCACCAGTAAGCTAGAACAGAGTCTCAACAGTTACGTCACCAGCTGCTACAGAATTATGGTCAATATCAAACGCTTACTAAGTGTTTGATACCTTATCGGATAAGGTATCAAATCAAACAATCTACAAAACAATTGGAATCGACCCCCAAGTTTACAGATCCAACGGCGGCAACTCAGATACGGTGGCCATTGTCTGCGAAGAGAAAAAGACGAGCTGATTAATAAGTACGTCCTCTATTCGCCCAAAGAAAGCCACGACAAACGAAAACAAGGCAAATCACGCCTGTTATATCCGGCATATATTGGCAAGCTCATCAACAGTGGCATGCTGCCCTCGGTCGACGAGTTACGAGCAGCTGCAAACAACAGAGAAAACTGGATCAAGATTGTTGACGCCTGTAAACTAAAGTTGTTTGCAGTCGACTGATGATGATGAAGATGAATCGGTTCCGAAAGTTTTTTCCCATCGAGTGTTCTTCGTGCAAAGATTGATCGGTTTTTCAATTAGTCCGTTTCTATCATGTATTTGAATAGATCGTTCTTATTAAGAAATGTGTACTTACTAAGAATGGAGCAACTATAATTCATTCTACCGATCATAGCTCAATTAGTTTAGAAGAAAATTAATTAATTTTTGTACCATTATATTCGAAACACTTTCCTCTAATCAATGATATAAAAAAGTTTATATTTTCTTGAAAGATTTGAAAGATCATCGCAGAATAATTAATTTAAGTTTATGCCTCACAACTACTCTAGAAAAGCACTGTATCAATATCTTTTTCTTATTACAAAAATTTATAAAACTATGTTAGAACTTTAAGTTTCTGAGAAAATATGCTTTCTGCTTTCAATGCAAATAAAAAACCAGATTGTTTTTCTTTAACGACGAGGTGGTTGCGGCTGTATTGGACGAGTTTCACCACTTTTGAATCCAAAGGAAATCTCACCCTCACCCTCAGGAAAAACAGCTTTCTCTCTGTGTATAGTAGATTTTTTCATTCAGAAAAAAGCTTTGTGTAATAAATTTAGATGCTTTAGAAAGTCTAAATCTACTAAAAATCTACTATACACAGAGAGAAAGCTTTCCGTGAAAGTTTTTCGTGAAGGGGAAGGTGAGATTTCCTTTGGATTCAAAAGTGATCTAATAGGCTCACAAAAGGATGGCGATTACTCTGGCATATTACTTTGGGTGTTTGCACCACTTTGTTTGGGTGTTAGTCGATGTTAGTGGGTATTAGTGGATGTTAGTCGGTGTTCCTAACAAAAAAGTCCTAAAGAATCATCTTTGAAATAAATTGTTTCGGTATTAGTTTGATGTTACCTAATTCACACAGTACAGGTCTATCTCGGACTTTAATTTGGGGGTGTTGGTGGATGTTAGTGGGTGTTAGTGGGCCTTAGCGTATTTTAGTAATACCCAAAATAAACATAACATCTTTCGTTCACAAGAAAAAATGTCCTGCGGAGTTCGCATCGTGAAGTTCTTGCCTCGTCATTGCCCCGTGTCTCGTCGAGCTTTCAAAAAATCTTCCTTGCGGAATACGTCCCGTGAAGAATCGCGGAACCTCGTGAGGATCCTCGTCCATCGCCTACCTCTTATATATCAGGTTTTCAAATCCATAGCTGTTTTTCACATATCCGCATATTTTACAATAAGATCTCATACAGTCTTAGAAGAGCTTGTCATATCTTTTAACCTTATTTCATTCGATTTTGTTTTTTTGTACCATCATACGTAGGGGTGGTACGTTCCCGTTACTACTAACAGTAACGAAAATCTGTTACCCTTACCAGTAAGCAGTAACAGAAATCCGTTACCCATTACTTTACTTTGTAAGGTAACGGTAAGAGATTCTTCTTGTTTTGACAACCTTTTATTTATTTTGTTCCTCTAGCTGGTGAAAAACCTTTTTTTGAAACATTTCATGTTTCTATTTTGAAAACTGTGTCAAATCTAAGAGTCAGTTAATGTGGAATATCAGTAGTCTCTGGAACAGAAGTAGAGTAATTTTAGAAATAACTGTAACTCTGTATACTCCGTGTACTATTGCGCTGAATAATCCTTGTTGATTTAAGAAAGAGATTGCCTCAGCGTATGGCTTTGTGTGGTCAAGGCTACCTTTGAAACAGAAAAATAGCTCCTGCCTCTTTTCAAATATTTTTTTTTAGCAAAATTGTTATATGCTTTTATATACTTTAATGTATTATCAAAAGTACATGAAGAGAAAAACTGTCATGTATTTTGTCGATTCTACTCATTTTCTGGTCTCTGCTGATACTATGAGTAATCATAAGCGGATAACTGAATGTGTGTGTGTTTTTATTCCTTTACGCATTTTTTATAATTTCAACTTAATTACATTTATGTATAAACGACATTAGGATTCTTTATATAAGAATAAGATGTATGTGTTTCCATGTCATTGCTATTTAACTTAATCTTTACTGTTATTGAGAGTCCAGCTAAACGTTAGAGGGAGGAAAAAAGTAATCATATATTTTGATGATGTTTACTTTCAACTCTTTTTAATTTCAGTTTATTTAGACAAATTAAACTATAAAAAATTTTATAAAACCACGGAACGATATATATTTTTATCGACGAACAAAATTAAAAAATCATAATCTATACCAAACGTACACACATGTAAGTAGGAACATTAAAAATAACCGTAAATATAATATTTTACAAGTAAGGTGGAAATTTTATCAGATTCTTTTGATTCGAATTCGTTTGTTACTTCGAAACTTCTCATCCTCTAAATTGACTAAGTTTATTTTATTGACTTGTTAAGAATAACATAATCGTTAGAGAAAATGACTGACCAATGGCAAGGTATATGCTCTATCACGTCGTTTTTCTCTGATTTATCTTCTATATCTCTTTTTGAGAATCATTATTTGGATGTTTTGATGATACAAAAATATGTTTGTGTGGCTGGTGTTGTACACCATGTCTGTTTGGCCAAAATGTCGAACAAATTGACGGCTCAAATTGTGCGTTAATGGGATTAATTTATTGCTGTCTTGGTGGATGTTATTTATGTGGTCTTTTTCATCTACCTAAACGAAGAGCACTTAGAGAAAAATATAACCTTGTTGAAGAACCGGCTGATATTTTAGCAACATGTTGTTGTGGACCATGTGCCATATGTCAAGAAGCGAGAGAGTTGAACAAAAGAGGTAATTGCATACCGTATGAGACTACGAAGCTTTTCAGAAATCATGTTGATATTATGTTGATATTCTTCAAAGATTATGAACAAAAAACAAAAGTTTAATTTTGCTTTTGATTTCTAGGAGGTCAAGGTGGTGGAACTCGTCCAATACAGACGCAACCACCTCGTCGTTAAAGAAAAACAATCTGGTTTTTTATTTGCATTGAAAGCAGAAAGCATATTTTCTCAGAAACTTAAAGTTCTAACATAGTTTTATAAATTTTTGTAATAAGAAAA